ATGTATATTTACGAATGTATAAACAATAAATGAATAAATAAATATTTAAATACAGTACAGTACAGTCAAACCTGGATCATCGTCTAGGTCTATTTTTGTTTACCTCTATTTTTGTCCGTTTTTTCAGACGGACCCCCTATTTTATGTGTCCTATATAAACTATATAGGATGTAGATGGACAATGCACGTGAACGTCCTGCTCCAGTAGGAACATCATATCACTCCAGATCAGCTCTTCCCCCCTGAAAATTCAGAAGATAGTTCCAAGCAATATAATGTGAAGTATCATGTTGCTGTATATATGGTGTGCGTGTATCCTCACTGCTCACATACAATACAGGCGGTGCAAACACAACGCATGACCGTCATACACGATGTCCAATACGCAGCAAAGCAGAACGACAAAGACGCCGATACATCACAAACCAGCACAAAGAAGAAAGTCGCTAAGAAAAGAATTATACGCGAGCCTTCGAAGCATAGTATACATTTATCTGAAGCCTCAATAGGTGAGTTTATTCGTAAAACGAAGAAAGGAGGATATAATCTACATAAGACTAGGGCTGTTTTAATTACAACAATTACCCTGGGGAAAGTTTAATATGTTGCTTCTTTTCTTGTTTGTTTGTTTGTTTTTTTATACAAGATACTTCCAAAACAAAAAAAAAGACCTTCTTCTGATGAAAATCCAAAAAGCCAGAAGGGCAAGAAATCATGGCCCTCCGCGGCTCCGCCCTCCCGGATTGAGATTTTCAGTCTCCGACTCTCCCCCCAGCCAGGCTGGGGGGGAGAAAGTCACATTTCGAGACATTATTTATGATTTATCCAGAGACGGCTATATGATAAAGAAAGTAGAAACAAAACTGAAAACATTTCAGTTTTTTAATTTTATCTTTTTAGTAAAATCATACATATGTAAATAAATACATAAGTATTTTGTTTTTATTATTGTTTAAAAATTACAAGGTGTCATTCTGACACAGAACGAGAGCAATTTGGTGTTGCGCTATGACGCGACTTACAGGTGTACAATTTTAATTGAATTAAATGGTCTACAACTGCTTTTTATTTATCTTTCGATCTTAAAAATACCGAGTTTCTTTGTTCGTTCTGTGGCTTTTTCTTTACTCTTTTTTTTCTCGCTTTGTTTGGAGATCGGTTTCCACGATATGTTAACCAATAGATGATTGGGTATTTTGATTTTCGAGCCCACTGGTGGCCCTCGTCTTGTTATTACAGTAATAGTTCCGCACAAAAACTTATCATAGATGTCACTTGTGGCCCTGTGGGAGCGCATCAATATTATATATTGCGGAAATTATATATAGAGTTGCTTGTACATAAATTGCTCATTTAGTACGACAATTTTTACTGTCATCACCTTGAGAAAATACTTCAAAACTATGCCTACTGAAATTCCCCATGAAGCGCCTACTCCAAGTGCTAAAGACGAAAAATCTAGGGACACACCCATCATTCTGCAAAGCTCTGTTCTAATCGTGGAAAATAAATACCCATTGAAGTGTCAAATAATTGGCCGGTTTTACATCGAGCAACTACCCGTTCAGACATTCAACAATGCGGGCTAAGCAGAATCTGCACTACCTGCAAGTCCGCAACTATGAGCTGATTATTTATTTACCGCCGACGATTGTTTTAAAAAGAGATTGATATACCGTCAACAATGTTATAGCTAGCTCGTTCGATCTCATTGCTCATTCGATCGCATTGCTCGTTCGACATTGCTAGTAAATGGTACCGTAACTACGAAACTCTTTTGCCTCCATTTGAACCATTATACCTTTACTGGAGAACTAGGCCTTGTGGATACTAGGTGAGCATCAACAAATTCAAGTGACAACAGACAAACGGCAAACGTTCCCCGTACGATGAAATACTACTTGTGGTATGACGCCGTGTATTCGAGAGGGCGGCAACTATACGATCACGCAGCTGTAGTTGGAAAGATCTTGGTTCAACTGGGAAAGTTGGAAAGCACCCTATTTTTGAAATTTTATTTATATCTGAATACCATGAAGTTATTTGTGAAGCATAGTTGAGGACAAAAAGGGGACCGTGGTGATCTCACTCGAAATACAGTCAGGCCGTCCGGATTGATATTTATCATTCATTTTGTGATTCTCACACTCATGGCTCATGAGAATGCTTGTGTCAAAACTCAAAGCTGATCACAATTTTTATATTCACAATACTTCGCCCATTTTCACAATGAAAAATAAAAGAAGATACTTTCCCTCCGTTGTACATATATAATAAACTTAAATACTTAGGTTTAATCGAAACACAAGGAATGGCGACGGACACGTTGGAAAAAAAAATGAACATAACTAAAATATAATAGATTTCATTTCGAAACGTTCAAAAATTCATATATTAAACACAGATATGTAATTGCAGATGTATAATTATGAATATGGGTATGAATATATATATATATATATATATATATATATATATTATATATATATATATATAATATATAATAATAATAAATAATAATA